TCCCCGCTCCCCCAATTGCGTCCCCAACCCCAATCTCCCCACTGCGACCTTCACCCTCCCCCACTCATTGCACGCCACCCGTCCAGACTCCGGCCTCCCTCCGCATTCGTCCCCTCCTCATCAAGTTCTGATTCCCCCCCCACGATCACGTTCCCTCTCCGCGATCATACCGCCTTCCCTCTTTCGGCCCCCTCTCTTCCTCGACCCCCGATTATCGTTTAAGGAATTACACCACTCCTCGACACTCATCACATCAAAGTTAGATTAGTCATACATGGTATGTTGTTGAGTATCAAAAGAAAATAATCTCATATTGTTGGATGAATGAAAGAGGATGTGGATGGATGGTTTCTCTCATGAATGGTTAAAATTCCAGGAAATTGATGCATCTTAAAAGACCTGTCGGGGTTAATCCTGACTCATTTGGGCGCTTAGGTTAATATAAGTCTTCCGTGACAGGAAACGGGATACTCGAGGCCTTTTTGGTTTGTTGTTTTCCCTTACTATAGTGTAATGTAAGTATCTTTGTGTGCATGGGAAACCCAAGTTAAATTCCCAGCGGCGTAGTGTACGCTGAGGTGTTGTGAAGAGCATCCCCATAAACTCAAGAAAATCGGGTTAGATTCTCGACAATTAATGGAATTCCCCCAAATGAATAAGAATAAAGGTATCAATTGAATGGTTGATGTTTGGATCAGGCTGGGGGGCTTTTAGTACCATTCTGAGAGACTAAACTTTTGAGTGTTTGCCAGTGGGATGATGCTGGAACCATCCGAAAGGAAATCCACAAATTTCAAAGCGTCAGACATTGGATCTGAAATCATTCCGACAGTTTAAGCGAGTATTCTGATGGGGAGGGGCATTTGCCAGAACGTTTCTTGGCTGACACCTCTTACAAGTAAGATGAGAATGATAAGATGTTATTTGATGAAAGTGAATGACGTGGAAGTCATTCAATGGCGCCTGGGAATGTTGTCGGGGCAGAAACCCTGATAACGGTATCTTTTCTCCGTACAAGTTCGCCACATGGACGACTCCGACGGATCTTGGTGACCGAATGTTCCCCATTTTTTGTGAATGAATTGTCAGATGTTGTTACTCCAAATTTTCTTTCAATAAGCTATCAACGCATCCTCTGTTGCTTTTGTTGCTCTCAATATTTTCTTCCCCGTTTTTTTTAATGCTAAATGAATTGGTGCCCCCCATTTTTTGTGAATAAAAAGTTTTCTTTGGATAAGCTGTCAACGCACCCTCTGTGGCTTTTGGTGCTCTCAACATTTTCTTCCCTATTTTTTTTTTTAATGCTCAATGAATTCTTCTTCCTTCGACATTCTTCTCTCCCCCCCCTTCCTTCCGTTCATCTCCCTCTTCCTCTCCTCCCCCGATTGTGTGTCGCTGCCTCCCTCCCCTTTCTCCCATTCATCCTCACCGCAGAAAAAGAATGCGGCTATGTGTGTGTGTGTGTGTGTGTGTGTGTGTGTGTGTGTGTGTGTGTGTGAGAGAGAGAGAGAGAGAGAGAGAGAGAGAGAGAGAGAGAGAGAGNGGGGAGTCGGGTTGCCGCCAAGGGGAAACAACATACACAAAGAATGGTATGTGTGTGTGTGTGTGTGTGTGTGTGTGTGTGTGTGTGTGTGTGAGAGAGAGAGAGAGAGAGAGAGTCTTTTTTTTCTGTGAGGGGCCTTGTCACGTGGTGTGCGAATTCGCTTAACCTTTTGCAGACAGGTACATCGCAAAGATGGACTTCCTAAGTAAGAAAAACGGACTACTTTCTTGACTTTAATTAACAACAAAATAACAACAATTATGTTTGAATTTCAATGTTGTTATTCGTTTCTTTGATGGCTGAGTTTTTTTTTCATCAAATCGCAATTGCAGATAACGGGAATCGAACCTATATCCCCTGCTTGGAAGGCAGACAGTCCACTTGTTTTCTTAAATAGCATATCTCGTATAAATCTAATTTTTCTTTTTGTAATTGAATTCCTACATTTTTTTAGTCGATATGTTATTTTCCTAATTTGACCTAATTCTACTCAGAATTCTGAATAGGGGGCTCATGAGATGGTCAAATGGAATATCTCGTAGGGTCTGTTTTCTTTTTGTTTTGAAGTAGGGGGTGGAAGGCATCAAAGGATTCTTTGCAAGGATAGAGAGGGGATGGAATAGGGCTGTTCAACGGGTGCCGACTAGGGGGAGCCCTTAACAGATGCGATTGGCATTGGGTAGTTAGGTTGTCCAATGGGTACCGGTTGTTGAGGGCGAGCTTTAGCGCGATTGGCGTTGGGCAGTGTTGTTCACCTCCTTGAGGACGGAGACTGGAATTCTTGTGGGGGCAACGAATTTCAGGGTGATGATGGTGCCTGCCCCCTGCTGAGATAAGCTATTCTCTAGGCTCCTTACGAGGACGGAGTTGGGAAGGCGAATAAGGTCCTTCCCTTCGATGATGGAGGCGGGATTTTTCAGAACGGTTGTTTCAAGGCTTGCTGGTTTCCTATTTTTGTTCTATTTTTCGTCAGAAGTCGTTTTGTAGCCAAGGCCGGGTACTGGCTCCGGCATCTCAATTTCTTCCCATTGAAAAAAAAGCTAGCGGAGCATCTTGTGGAGTTTTTGGGGACCTGCTTTGAAGTAAGGGGCCAGGGGCATCAAATGATTCTTTACAAGGATGGAGAGGGGGAGGAAATAGGGTTGCTCGATGGGTACCGGCTAGAGGGGCCTCTTATCAGATGCGATTGGTGTCCGGTAGTTTAAGTTGTCTGATGGGTACCGGCTGATGAGAGTGAACTCTGGCGCGATTGGCGTTGGGTAGTGCTAGTTCACCACCTCGAGGACGGAGACTGGGATTCTTGTGGCGGCAAAAGATGTCAGGGTGATGATGGGGCTTGGCCCCCACGGAGTAGAGGATCTCTGAAGTTCTTCACGAGGACGGAGTTGGGCAGGACAAAGGTAATCGGGATGGAGGAAGTTGGTGGTGGATGCGATTGGCGCTGAAATTTCGCCGGGTACCGGCCACTGGCCGCTAACTTCACCCGTATCAGTCTGCGCTTCTTCCATTCGATGATGGAGGCAGGATTGTTCTGTGGGGGTATTTCTCCAAAAAAGAGGTTGAGTGGGATGAGTAGATGGTTGGATATCAAGCGTCCTACTAGCGAGGGGGCTAGCTCGTAGGATGGACATAGGGTACAACAGCAGTGGAGATGGTGGCTCTGTTGCAGTAAGTCTTGTCGGAGTGAGGTAAAGAGGATTGATGGGGGGTCTCTGAGTTGTTTTCTGAATTTTGCCTATTCTGAAGTCTTTGTAGTATTTTTCTCAGTAAATTAAATTCTTCTTAGCCCTGGGATCTTAAACTTTCAAAATTCTTTCAAAATTTTATGTCAACGTTCATTTGGGACGCTGGGCCCGGTTCCCAGCACGTGCTGCTCCCCACGAATAGATTGGAGCCCTGTTCCCATTTGAAAAAAAAAAAGGATTCTGGGTTTTTTTTGCCACTCACTGTAGGCTTCTCTGATGTAGTTATATTCATAGATCTGTGGTGGTTCAATGACAGAACATCGCGGTTGGCTGGTGTTGCAAGTAGAGGGTGGGATATCAAGCGTCCTACTAGTGAGGCGGCTAGCTGGTAGGATGGAAATAGGGTATAGCAGCAGCGGAGATGGTGGTTCTGCTGAAGTAAGTCTTGTCGGAGTAAGGTGAGAGGATGGATGGGGGTTTCTGGGACATTCTTTGAACCTCTGCTTACGCGAGTGGGAGAAGTAGGTGGTGGGATAACAAGCGTCCTACTAGTGAGGGGGCTTGCTGGTAGGAGGGAAATAGGGTACAACAGCAGCGGAGATGGTGGCTCTGCTGCGGTAAGTCTTGCCGGAGTGAGGTAAAGAGGATTGATGGGGTTTTCTGATGCGTTTCCTGAAGTCTTGCCTATTTTCTGAATTTTGCCATAGTAATTCTTAATTTGGCTCCAATTTTTCTTCGCCAAAGCCGGGTAATGGCGCCCCGGTACCCCAAACCTTCAAAATTGTCTTTCAGTTGCTTTTGGTGGTCTCGAGATGTTTTTATACTCATAAATCTGCGGTCAGAACGACGCTGGTTGGTGTTGGAAGTAGATGGCGGGATATCAAGCGTCCTACCAGTGAAGGGGTTAGCTGGTAGGATGGAAATAGGGTATAGCAGCAACAGAGATGGTGGCTCTGCTATAGTAAGTCTTGCCGGATTGAGGTAAAGAGGATGGATGGGCGGTTTTGAGACGTCTCCTGAAACTTTGCCTGGGTGAGTGGGAGAAGAAGGTTGGATATCAAGCGTCCTACTTGTGAGGGGTCTAGCTGGTAGGATGGTAATAGGGTACAGCAGCAGCAGAGATGGTGGCTCTGCTGCAGTAAGACTTGCCGGAGTGAGGTAATGAGGATGGAGGGGGGTCTGAGTCTGTTCCTGAATTTTTGCCTATTGCAAATTCTCAAAATTTTCAAAATCCTATGTAATTTTCTATATGGGATGCTGGGCCCGGTTCCCAGCACGTGTTGCTCCCCACGAATAGATTGGAGCTTTGTTCCCATTGAAAAAAAAAAAAAAAAAAAAAAAA